GGTCTCCCAGGTGGAGACTACTGGCCCCTGAAGGGAGAAGAAGTTGCCTCTTCCCTCTTTAAGAGGATGGGGAAGGGTCTCTTGGCAATGGCAGCCTGCCTGGTTCTTGTAGTCATGAATGGCTGGTGAGGAAGAGGAGGCAGTGGGCTCTGGCTGCTGTGGGGCTGTGTCCTTTCCTTGAGGGTCTGTGGTTGGAAGCTGGAGAGACCCTGTGTGCCCTTCCATGTCTCATCCCTCTTCTGGCTGACACTCTTATTTCTAAGGTACTGTTACCCTGTTATTGGGTTACTCAAAACTGAAAAATAAGCAACAAATTTACTGAAATGATCTTGAGATTATTTTGTGCTCTTGTGGGATTTCTGTGTGAAGGGGGTATCTACTCTATTAACTCCCATTAATATCAAACCTCTACTATTAATAGGATTTGCATATGGCAAGGAAGAGGATTGACCTTTAAATTCATTAAATAAAGCAAATTTAAAAAATAATTTTAGTTAAAAGCATTAGGGTGATGAAAAATACAAGAACAAATACATAGACATCGGTATCTGGGCTTTCGTTAACACTAACGAGCAAATTATCACAGGGGAAGATTTGCATCATTGGAATATATATTCTAGCCTCCATACTGATATATGTGATGCAGGGTTATCTTTGTATGGCTTCTCTTTCAGAATATATTTTCTTCTTATAAAATAGCATCTTTTTAACTCCCATTGGGGACTTCCTTATAAATGAGGAACTGGTCCTCAAGGGACTGGCCTGACTAGAAAAGTGAATTACTAAAAAAAAAAAAAAAGGCATATTAGAATACTAAGCATTATAATTAACTCATTTCTTTGTTTGTTTTTTTTTTTTAGAAAATCTTAAAAAAAAAAAAAAAAAAAAAGTTATAACCAGGGTTTAATTAAACATATTATCTGGATGTTTGAATTGTGTAAGAAATAGAAAATCCTGTTGTATTTTGGGGGGATTAATTGCATCAATTTAAGGTTCTTGCTCTAATCTTCAATATGCAGTCAGTTATCACCACTCTTCTTGCAAAGCAGCTACAGTGCTGTGAGTAAGTGATGTTTGCCTGTGTAGCTGGGGTCACAACATGCCCCTCAGAGGGGCGTTCTCAGCCCGGGAGTGGCAACGAGTGCAGTCATCTCCTAATCTCTTACATGGGAACAAGCACGGGTTCTCTATACCAAAACTGGCTGAAGACGCAGATTCAAAATATTATTGCTCCTAATAATAAATATTGATTTACATGTGCTGAAAAGCTTCTGCTGCCTTCACAGCAAGTAGTCTAAAATATAATTAGATTAGTCATGTTTTTGCCACCATATTGCTTTCAAGTCAGACTCTTGAGACGCCGCTGCCCTGTGGGCTCTGGATCTCCGGCATCGCGCTGATCTTGCATCTTAACCCATCTGTGTCTCGTCTTTCTGACATAGCCCTTTGTAAAATACTTTGAGATACTTGGATCAAACTTGCCGTTGGTTCCAAGCAGTGTTAATCAGTATTTTGTTGAGCAGCTCAGTCTACAAATTCAGCTGTTTATTCTGTTCCTGTCCTATCTCAGGCCTCCACAAGTGGGAAGAGGGGAAACGGTTCAAGTTATTCTGCTCGGAGCTCAGCTACTGTCATCTGCTCTATACAGCTCTGAACATCTGAAGTTAGTGAAATTAAATAAAGTGTGAGCATCCTTTAGTCTATAGCTCTTTGCCTTTAAAACAATTACTCATGGTAACCTTAACAATAGTATATTAAGGAAAAAAATCCTCATAAAATAACTTAGTGTTAGGATGGAGCTCTGCCCGATATTAGAACAATTATGGAGCAGATGCATCCACTCCATTTGAACAGTGACCTTTTCATCAAGCTACAAAACATTAAAGGTTAAAGAATGTTTGAAAGGAAGTTAATACTTTTAAAACATTAGGAAAAAATTGCCATTCTTTCAAGACCTGACCAAAATCAGTGGAAAACTAGAAGATGACTGTTTAGGCACATCCAGTCATAATTTAAGCAACTCTTATTACAGAAGGATGTAAGGTATTTTACTTCATCTGTTTTATTTTAAAATTAGAAGTGCTTTTTCAGAGAAGAAATTAGGTTTGATAGGAATAAATACCCAATGAAAGAAATCTGCTCTAAAGCTTGGTAATTGCAATTTTAAAGTCACGTTTCTTTCTCTCCATTGTGTACCGATGACATGAGAACAAAGAGAGGGAATCAATGACGGTGTCAGATTTTCTTAGTTTCCACGTTTCACCTGACCTGGCTGGTGCAAACTCGAGTCATCAGTGAGAGGGAGGAGAGCCGCGGCCGCTGCCCCGGGAGCACAGCGCCGCGTGGGCACCCGTGACCCGCCTGCGGGTGCGGGGACGCTGCTCCTGCCCGCGCACCAACCGCGTGGCAGGGGGGCGAAGGCACGGGTGGGACTGCCAAGTGCAAGGCGAGGCTGAAACGCGTCCTGGGGCGCGGAACAGGAGCGCGGCCCCCGAAAGCTTCCGGCAGAGGGGTGCTGTCGCCCGGCCTCCGCGGGGGTCGGGGCCTCCTGCTGCCTTCTCAGGGCGGCTGCGCCCAAACAGTGCGGTTTTATATATTTTTTTTTTCCTTTTTTTTTTCTTTTTTTTTTTTTTTCCCCTGGAGAATGGGTGAGGGTGGAGGGTGCTGGACGCTGGCCGGCTCCCGCCGCGGCAGGGCCGAGCCCCGCGTCCCACCGCGGCCGGGCCGCGTGAGCGGAGCCCCGGTGTGCGTGGGGGGGGGGGGGGGGGGGGAAAGGTGGCGGGAGAGCGAGGTTCGAACTCCTGCACATGGTCTGCGTCATCCGGGTCCTGTGCTCTTCATACATAATAAATTTAACAAAACCCTTCTAAACAGTAGTTGCTGGGCATGCTGGGGAGCGAGGATTTACGACCCGGCAGCCCCTCTATGTCTTTTTTTTAAATGCCCCTTGGCGGCGTGCCGCGCCGTGGCCTGCCGGCCTGCGCACTCTCAGCCCCACATCAAAGAGGCGCGTCGAGGCGCGGAGGCGGCGGGCGGGCCCCCTGCGCAGCCCGGCGGGACCCGCGCAGCCCGGCGGGCCTGGCCGGCAGCCGGTTGCCGTCCCCAGCCCGGTGCGCGTCCCCCCGGGGGCAGCGGGCTCCCCGCCGCGCAGGCACCGCTGCTGGCGGCGGCCGTGGCGTTTCTCTTCCCTTGGCGGTGATTCCGCAGCGGGGCTCGGAGGGTGCCCGCAGCCGGAGGAAGGTGCGTTATTGGCAGACGGATAACTTTAGTAAGAGAAGCTTGCATATCTTAGTGCGAGCACTAAGTGCAAATCACTAAAAAAAGCCGACTGGGAAATAAGTTGCTGTGAAAAGAAAGAAGGATTTTGCTCGGGATTAGGCTTTATCAACTTCCCACTTCATATATTTTTTCCTGTTTTTTTCAAAAAAAAAAAAATATGTGCACAAAAAACAAAATCTTTATTGCGTTAAATCACAGACGGTCAGCAAAGGAACAGCTCTGTTAGCTGTGCAACGGAAACTTTCAGGTGATGTGAGAAATAAGAGGGGAATCCCTTCTCATAGATCCTCCAAATGCCTTTCAAATTAGCCAGCTCTGAGGATCACTGCCAGTCTCCACAGAGGCGTTCCCAAAGCTCGCAGCTAGTAAAACTTTGTGTAGGTAAAATTAGCTAAACCCCTTCTGCTAGCACAATGGCTTTTGTTGTCACATATGGTGGAGTTCCAGGATCTGTAACTATTTTTCATAAAAGATTTTCCTACTGCCCAATTGAATACATTACGCTACAGTAGCTCTGAATGGTATCGCTTATTTCCTCCAAAGCAGAGGCCGATTGTTTCTTCAGAGACCCTAAGTCCTTTCAAGGGGGGAGGAGGGGAAAAAAAAAAAAAAAAAAAAAAAAAGATAATTCAGCGGGACTGAAGCGCGACGATAGCTCTTATTTTAGCGCGTATTATCTCCAAAAAGTGCAGCCCTGGGGAGAGCGGCAAGTGCCGGGGGAGCGGGGCTCGCCGCCCCCGGGCTCTGCCCGGAGGAAGCCCGGCTGGGGCGAGGGGGAGCCCGGAGAGCTCGGGGGCCGCAACCCTCGCCCGGCAAACGCGGCAGAGCCCCTGCGCACCCTCCCTACCCCCTGTCCCTCCCGCGGGCACGCGGGCGGGACACCGCTGTCCCGAGGGGGAGCCGCAGCGGCACGGGCCCGGCCGGGCAGCGGCTTTCGCCGCCCCGCTTTAGTTGGGGAACTTGCCGGCCCCGGGCAAGTGGGGCCGCGGGCTTCGCCTCCGAGGGGTTCCCGCGGGCGCGGAGCCGCCGCTGCCGCCCGGCGCCGCGGGGAGGGCCGGGCAAGGGCACCGCCGGGCGCGGGCCGCTGCGCGGAGGGCCGCGGGGCGGGTGGCGCTGCCCCGCTCCGCCCGGCGGCCGCAGCGGCGGGGCCGGCCCGCTCCGGGAGGTTCCGCGCAGCACCCTGCGGCTTCCCGATCCGAAGTTTTCCCCCGCCACCGTGGTGGGCTTTTGTTTTTTTGTCTTTTTTTTTTTTGTCTTTTTTTTGGGGGGGGGGGGGAGGGGGGGGTGGGGGGGATGGATACATTTCTGGTATGTCGGGTGAGGTGAGGAATTCCTTTTAACTCCAGACGGAAGCGAATCGATTCGGACAAGATTACCTACAGCTTAAAAGGAATGCTTCAAAATACTAAGACACTGGGCGTGCTTACACTTTACTATCTTTTCCCCGTGCTCTTTCCGAAATGCCTGGTTCTGATCGCAAGAACACTGCTATTCCAGTTTTGATTTTCTGGGACTTATTACATGTCAGAACTGTAAAAGTCCTCTGGACAATTTACAGACAAAACATCTGGTTCGTTAAAGCAAAGCTACTGGACTAAGACAAACAAACTTTGCTGCTGTGTAAATTCACTTACCCAAACAATTTACATTCAAGCAAAGATTTTAGCCCGAAGAAAAACTTTTATTCATTTGTATTGAGGAGGTTTGGGAATTCATAGGCATTTTAAAATAATTTTGCTTTAATAAAGTTATGTAGATATTACAAAACGTCTTTGTTCTCTTCTCAGCTTATTATTGCTGTTATAATGGTTATTGACAACACTTTGTATTTTATAGAAGTGGAGTATCGTTTTCGGTCGTGGGCAGTGGTGTTTCTAAACAAACTTGTCAGATGCATATTCATCTAGCCCAGCCTCAATGAAAACTGTTTATTCTTTGTTCCTCGCCGGGAAAAAACGACGTACTTTTCTCACCCTTTTTGCGTTTCGATGGGGTGCCCCCGGGCCGTCAGGGAGGAGGCAGAGGTTTCTCCCGGGGACGGGGGGCAGCGGAGGCGGCCGCCGCGCTCCCCGCGCCCGCTCCCGGGCGGTGCCGCCGCGCTGCGCCCGCAGCCCCGCGCCTCCCGCGCGGCGTGGGCTGCCCCGGCGGGGCGCCGGGCAGGTGAGGCTCCCCACGCTCCCCCCCGCCCCCGCAGCCGGGAGCCCGGCCCCCCGCCGTCCCCTTCCCCGACAGCTCCTCGGCTGGCGGGGCGGCCGCTACCTCGCCGCCGCGGAAGGCCCCTGCTCGGTGCTACCCAGCCCCGCCCGCGTGGGGGGGGACACTCGGCGGGCGTGGGGACCCCCCGGCTGCCCGGCGCCGCTGGGAGGGCTGGGGGCGGCCAGCGGGCGGGGATGGGGCGGCTCGCACCGCGGGTTTGCCCCCCCTGCAAAGCCACCAAGCAGGGCTAACAAGTGAGTCTCGGAGAGCAGCTACCCACGCCCACGGGGGCTCGGGGCACGCTTCTCCCTCCCTTGTTTGCAGTGAACAAGTGGCGAAACATAAACACGCTGCTGGGGAGAGAAGGAGGTTAAAGCCCGAAACGCGCTGGCTTCTAAGAGGCGGCTGTTCCAAGTTTAATCAACTTCCTCACAGATCCTCCAGGGCTATTCCCATAACTAACAGATAATTTCAATGGTCCTTTTATCAGCCCAGCCCGCTGCCTCCGCTCGGACCTGGCTGGCGGGAGGGGTTTCTTGGGAAACTGTTGGAAGTTTTCGTGTGGTGGGAATAAAATGAGCAGTGAAATTATACAACAAAGAAGGGCACCAAACGGTGCACCCTGTTGAAACAGAAAACATTCTTAGCTGATGGAAAGTTCAGGAGTGATGGTTATCTAATTATGGGACTTGGTTTAAAACTGCCGGGAAGAGTTGGCTTAGCGTTCATGTGCTGAATCTTTGGAGATGGAGTCTGTACAGTCATCGATTTTACATACTATGTTTGGAAATGTTACACTTAATAAAATTACAGGTTCTGGCTCTCTGAAATAGCCTGTCACCCCCAAAGAAATTGATACACACTGAAGAATCTGCATTTCCCTCTGTAACTCGTCTGATAGAAAGTTCAATATATTTTTTTTTTTGCCTTAAAAAAACTGGGTATAGTTAACAACCAAATTATTCCACAACTTCCTGAGCGTCTTGGCACTAAGAGTTGTGAATGTGTAAGTGCAGCGCATGTGTCTGTGTGCATGTATATCTGTTGCCTCTTTCTCTCCCTCTCCCTCTCTCTTACACACGAGTTATTATGTCTAATTGAACTGATAAAGTTCCTCCAATTACTGTTTACGGGAAGTTTAACTTTGTTCCATTCACAGACCCCCCACTCCCAAATTGCTGCACCATCATAAGCCCATTACCCTCCACTGCCAGCGCTTGTGGCCCGCCCTTGGAAAAGCAAGGTAAGTGTTGTTAGACAAACCTCACCATACAGCAGGGCTGGTGATTTTCTCGCAAATGTTTGGTTTAGTGTCACCGTTCAGCTGCTGAGGTTGCAACCTGCCAGCATCTTCCACGTAGGCTGTAGTTCTGTGGGAGGGAGAGCTCTGCTAGGGAATCTGTTAAAATACACATGTCACTAAGTTCATAAATACATGCAGGCAGGTAGGTGTAAGGGTGGAGGAGCGAGAGGACCGCAGAGCCGTGAAGCTGCGCCGAGGCAGGCTGGCTGACGGCGGCGGGCGGGAGCGCAGCCGGCCGAGCCCCGGCCCCGCTCCCCGCCGCCCCCCGGCCCCGCTCCCCGCCGCCCCCGGGCCGCTGCGCCCAGCGCCGGGCACGCCGGGCGGGGAGGCGGCTCCGCTCCGTGCCGCCGGGGAAGCTGGAAGCTACGTGCTCCGAGCTGGGGGGAAGAGGAGCGGGTTTTTTTTGGGGGGGGGGGTGGAAGGCAGAAAGTTCTTGCAAGTCCCCCCAGATTAGTGATTGGCCGCTGCAGCGTTTTCCTGGGGATGCTCTGCAGCCAGCTAAGGAAGGTTCAGTATCGTCCCTGGCTTTGGAGAGGACTCTCGCACATTCAAGTGTAGCCCTTACAGGACTGAAATGACTAAACACGCCCGATCACTTTTATTTTGCTGTAGTTTTCAAGGCGTTTGATCAGCGCCTGGTGGCGGGCTGCCCTTCCCCGTGCTCCGGGCGGCCGGGCAGGAACAAATCCGGCCGGGGCTCCCGGCTCCCCGCACCCCCAGCGGAGTCTCCCGAAGTTTGTTTCAGCCTCGCCCGCTCCGGAGCTGGGAGAAATCCTCCATGTTGCGTAGCGCCCGCCGGCTCGGCCAGCAGCCTTCCCGAGCCCGAAGTTCACCTCTCTCTCTCCCTCTGCCAAGCTCCGCGTTTCATTTTCCGTCCCGCCGCCGCCCCCGCGGAGCCGGGAGCGCAGCCGGGCTGAGCGCGGAGCGCCGCGGCCCCCCCAGCCCTGCCCGGCCCCTGCCCCCGCCGGCTGCATCCTTCGGGCGGGGGGGGGGGAGCGTGGATTAGTTCGGTTTTCTATTTCCTAATTCCTATTTAAAGCGGGAGGAGGGAGAGAGGAAGAACGGGTTATTAATCGCAGCCCAGCCCTGTTTGCCAAGACTGTCTAACATTTGTAAATACTTATGCTGCGGCTGGTCCCCTCCTTCCTGGTTAAGTTGTTTAGTATGTTGGTTATTTGTACCGAATCCCGGTCTGTGTTGTGTCTGATGTGTTGTCGTTGCAATGTGCAGCCGGGGTGACACTGATGGATGCGCCAATGGTGAGACGGACAGATGTTAGGGCGGATCTAGCGGCACGCACGGCCACAGCGGCGGAGCCCGCCCGCCCAGCGCTGCCAGCCTCCGCGCCCGCGCCGGCCCTCCGCGAGCGCGCACTCACACTCACACACACACACACACACACACACACACACACACACACCCCGAGGGTTTTTTCTGGGGAGGGGGGGAACGTCTCCGTGTCGTCTCTTAAGTAGATCTGATCGCTCCTTCTGTGCGCAGATACAGTAACTGCGAGGAGCAACCAGCGAGTATCAATGAGATGGAACTGAGCGAATTTGGCAGCAGAAGCGGCAATTGACAACTCACCATTTTCTTGTTTGCAAGAAATGTTTCGTTTTCCCCCAACAGTAGCAATTTCCCGGGGACTTTAGGCGACTGCGATTTTTTTTTTTTTTTTTTTTCATCCTAAAGATCAGCTTAAAAAAAAAATATCAACTTTTAACAATAATAATCCAAAAAATACATCCCAAACCTTCTCCACCCTTCATGTAAAGTGTTTGAATTTCCTGCAACTTGAAAAGGAAAGCAAGAGCCAAAGAGCGGCACGGCGGCTTTATAAGATGTGAAGACGCAACAACATCTGCACTTAGTCAGGTATTTGGAATTATCCCAAATCTCGAAGAATGGGGGCGAGTGGAGATTTTTTTGATCTTACCGTAAAGTGAGATCATCCTTTTTTTTATTCCTCCCCGTGAACTTTAAAAAAAAAAAAAAAAAAAAAAAAAAGAGAGAGAGAAAAGCCGCTACTGATTTTTGTTGTTGTTGTTGTTTTGTTTTGCTTTTTCCCCCCGTCACCTCTCGCGCGCGGTGGCCCGCGGCAGCGCGCGGTGCCGGTGCGGTGCGCGGGCGCGCAGCGCGGCGGAGGCGGGAGGCCGGCACGGGCCCCCGCGCGCCCCCCGCCGCCCCGGCCCGCCCCGCTGCTGCGCGGCCCCGCCGCCCAGGGATGCGCAATCAAACCCGCAGCACATCGATCCGCCGGCGCTCGCTGAACTGAGCGCGGCGGCTCGCCAGTGAACTTGGACCAAAAAAAAAAAAAAAAAAAAAGAGAAAAAAAAAAACCAAAACAAACCAAAACCAAACCAAAACCAAAAAGAAAGGAAAACAAAAAAAAAAAAAAAAGAGCCCCCAAAAGAGGGAAAGAGAGGGAAAAGTGATCTTCCCCGAAGAGGCGGGCGCGCGCGGGGCGCGGGAGTGCGCGGGCGCTGCCCGCTCCCCGTCCGGCCGGCGGCACCGCGGGGCAGCGCGCAGCGGCTCGGCCGTTAACGGCCGCCGGCCGGAGCGGCCCCCGACACGCCGCCCGCAGGCGCGCAGCGGAGCCCGGGCGGCCGAGGCGCCAGCCAGGTGGGAGCCGGAGGGCTGGATGTGTGCCGGCGGGCGGCCAGCTGCCCGGCGCGCCGGTGAGTGGGGCCGGGGCGGGCGGCGGGGCGAGGCGGGGGCCCCGGGCTGCCGCCGCCGCTGTCACCTCGCGGGGCGGCCGGGCTCCGCGGGGACGGGGGCTGGAGCGCCGGGGGCGGAGGCCGGGCCCTCCTCGCCAGGGCGGGGGGGGGGGGAAGGGAGGGGGAGGGGGGTAGGGGCTGCGGGGGGTTGGGAGGGTCCCGTGCCCCGGCGTGGTGGGGGGCGGGGGGGAAGCTCCGGCGGGGAACGGGTGTGCGCGGGGGCGGAAAGGGAAGGGCTGCCGGTGGGGAGCGGAGCGGGCTGCCCTGCCCTGCTTCGGGGCGCCCGGCGGGCCGAGCCCCTCCGCCGCTGCGGGCTGCTGAGGGGAGCGGCGGCGGGTGAAGTTGGACGGCGGAGGGGGTGCAGCGAGGGGGGGGCGGGGGGGGTGCCCCGCCGCCGCCGCCGCCGCCGCCGCCGCCCCGGGCGGACCCTTCGCCGCCGCCGTGGCCGTGACGGGTGCCGGGCGCCGGGCCGGCGGCGCGATGCGCAAAGAGTTAAGGTGCCGTCCGGAGCGGGAGGCGGTGGGAGCGCGGTGCCCCTCTCCCTCTTTGCGGACTAGTTTGAGTGACACTGCGATCATCTCGTTTCCCTTCAAGCTTCGCCTGTTGCCGCCGCCGCCGCCGCTCCAGCGCCGAGCCAGGAGCCGGGGAGTGGAGAGCGCAGGCTGAGGCTCCGCCGACTCCTGCCAAGAAATCCCCCGTCTTTATGCCGTGATCTCCCAGCCCGGCCAGGCACCGGGGGCGCAGGGTGGGGTGGGGGGGACTGCGGGCTCTCCCCAGCCCTCCCGCCCGCACACCTCTTCGGGGGGCTTCCCCTCCTCCTTCCTCCGGGGCGATTTGTCAAACTTCCCCCCTCTTCTGCCAGCAGCAGCAGCAGCAGCAGCAGGGCTGTCCTCTCCTCTGTGCCGCCTCCTCCTCCGCCGCCGCCGCCTCCTCCTCCTCCTCCTCGGCATCGTGTATGCACAGCAACAAAAAATATATCCCCAACCCAGCCCTCGAGCCGGGACTGGAGCAGCTCACCGGATCTCTGGGGCTAAAGCAACTCTTCCCACCCCCGCGCCCAGGCAGCCCCCCCCCGCCGGCGCCGCCGGCCGCAGGAGCTCAGCATGCCGCGGAGGAAGCAGCAAGCGCCCCGGCGCGCAGCAGGTACGAGAGCCGCCTTCCCCGGCCGGTTGTTTCTCCTCTCGCTTCTCTCCGTCTCTTCCATAACCGCTTTCCAGCAGGCTGAGCCCGCCGGGCTGCACCGGGCTCCCTCCCTGCCCCGCTCCCCGCGATCGCACGCTGCATGCCGTGGATTTTGCAGAGCAAGTCTTGGTCTGGAGGCAGAGCACCGTGGCGTTGAGGGGGGGGTGATGATTTTATTTTCTTTTTTTTCCTTGGGGTGGCAGGGGTGGGGGCGCATGAAAGCCCTTTCCCGACTTTGGTACCCACTTTGATTTATTCCTAACTCTGCCATCGCCCGGCTCAGTTCTGGGGGCAACACTTGGTGAAAGCCAGGCGGTATGTGCAGGCACATACTACATGTACACGTATGATCTGTGTGACTCGGGGGGGGGGTGGAGGGGGGAAGGAGACAAATTTTGTTCATTTTCAGCCCGTACTTTGGCACCTACTTTGTTTCTCTCCCTTGTAGTCTTCATTCCTCTCCATCCCTTCCCCTCACAGGCAAATGGTTTGTGAAAGCCAGTGAAAATACTGTTGTGGGGGGGAGGCTTATTATTGTTTTTTTTTATTTTATTTTTTTTCTGTAAAAAGAGATAGGATATGTATAAATGCATGTCACACTGTGAATGAAGTGGCAGGGACGGAGTGATTTGGAGGGTCTGCAGTGTTACTTGAAGATCCAAGCACAGAACTGGTTCCTTTGCCCAACTTTTATCTTTTTCTCTCTTCCCCTTGTACCGTGCTGGAGATGTCTCTGCTGAACAGACAGACCCACCTAGTTGGTCACTCTCTTTGGCAACCTCTTCTGTTAATCCTATTGATTTCTTATTTATAAGTCCAGATGAGAAGATGCAAAGGAAACCAAAGGGGGGGAAAAAAGAAAAAAAAAAAAAAAAAAGGTCTGTGTATTGTCAAATGACTGGCGAATGTTTCTGATAGTGCCTTTACAATTTCCTCCATATTTTTTTTTCTTTTTAGAAATACTTTTCGAGGCTTTGTCCTGGTGAGGTTTTTTGTTTGTTTGTTTTATTTTCCGTATGTCAGAAATGTCAACTCCTGTTAAGCAGTATTTTTTGGAAAAGCCAAACTGAAAAGAAAACAGTGAAGAAAAAAAAAGCCCCATGTAATTTTACAGTAATCCTTAGTTGGGGATATGTGGGCTGGAAAAGGTTTCCTTGGCCTGTTGCCATCCTTGATTTGATGGCTGATTGATCGCCTGTCATCTGGCTGCCTTTGATCTATTCATTCCCGATAAACATCAATAAATCACTTGCCATGGTAACGCCAGACTCAGTGACGTCACAGGTGGCCTGTCAACTCTCTGTCAGCGCAACTTCAGGGGCTCCTGGCTGGATGTGCCACATCGCCCCACGGCCCAGCACATCCAGAGGCGTGGGGCTGGCTTGGGTGGAGGAGCAGGATTGCCTTTGGTTAGGGAGAGATCTGGGGGACCAGCATGTAACAGTCATCATTTACCCTTTGCAAATTTCCCTGTAGCAAGAGGCTGGGTGTAGAAGTTTTCCAGCGGCTCCAGCAGCGTTATCGGTAGTGCGTTCGTAGTTGTGCTTGTAACAACTTGAAGCAGGTAGTCCTGCAACTTGGTAAGGCACTGTTAGAAAATGGGCATTCAAAAATGTGACAGTGCTTTCACACTGTCTGACAACTTCTCGGAGTGGTGTGGTTTGAATTTAGTAAACAGCAAGGGATTCAGAGAGTAATACAAATTGTAAATAACTATGTCCACATTTCCTTTCTTCTTTTCTTTGACATACACATGCATTCGTCTAGTACTTTTGAAATAGAGAAACAGACTTTCTAGCAGTCTTACTCCATATGCTAACAGCTAGAAAGTTTGGAAAGTTTTGCAGTACAGTACTGATACCATCTAGCAAACAATATTATAGCCAAATACTTTATGATAATATTTTGCATTTCTGGCCCGTGCCATCAAATAACACTTTTCAAATAAATTAAAACTGTGAACTCTTCCTAATATTGGGAAATTCTTATTTGTAACATTAATTTAGTTCTGCAAAATCTACCTCTTCCAAGTATTTGATACATTCGACTGTGCTGTATGCTGGGCTCTCCATAGGGTGGAAGAAAATGTTTCTGCACTAAACACACGTTCTGAGGTATCTCTCTCTCTCTCTCTACCACTCTCCGTCTCTCCCTCTTTTCTCAAGTGAATCATCCATGATGTGTGATCTATCTTTCATATTTAGCAGTGTAATCTCTTTAAACTTTTAGCTTTTTGATAGCTACATTAAACATTTAGTATTGTGTATAATTGCTTCCCACTGAAATGCTGTTTTATTGGTCACATTGGAAAGGTTACTTTTTCTAGTAGCAGTAAAAGCAAAGGCTTTTTTTTTTTTTTATTTTAAACAACACTTTAAAAAGCAGCTAAGAAATAACAGGTTAGTTAAGAAATATTCATTACAAAAACTTGACTGCAGGACTAATAGGAGATGGAAGAATGGTTTTGCTCTATCAAAATGACCCGTCAAAACGACTTTGTTTCATATTTGATTTAATTGTCTCTCTCCTGACAGGCACATTCATCAATAGCTTAATGGTCAATCAGAAGTTGGCAGAGTGAGTGCTTTCATTCTTTCCCATACACTAGCTTTGGCTTTACTTTATCAAAATGCCTCTGCCTAATGGATATGGGGGATGTAGAATGACTGAAGGGCTACTTATTTGAGAAGAGTGAAAAAACAAGAACATTTATGCTGTTGATAAGTGCATGAAGATAAATAAGTGAGCTGTATGAGGCGTTTTATTTTAAGACAGAAGAAACTTACATTTTTTTCCCCTTCTTTTTGGCTTCAGAGCTGCAAGTTATAAGGTTCATGACTGCTTTTGTGGCATACTGAGAGTGATGACAAATTGATTGCTTGGTACTGAGAGAGAAAAAAAGGTGGTGGTGGGGGGAGAATTAAAGATGTCTGCTGATTGGTAACTCAGGAAATCCAGTCCCCAGCAACCTTGAGAATACTCGAGAATTTTTTTTCTCCAAACTGAAAGGTCCGCTCAGCCATAAAAAAAGAAAAGTTGTTTTGCCAGCTTCATTAGTGTTCACCTAATTAGCTGTAAACCTGATGGATTCCTGACAGCTTTAATGATTGGAGATGACAAGCTCCACGCAGTGTCATCCAGCAGAATTAGGTTTGCAGCTAGTTTGATGTAATCAAGTTGATATTACACAGTCCTGGTTGCCTTTAGTTGTGCATTAACTCAATTTTCTGCTGCAGGTGACAAATGGGCTTTGGTACCTGGATAATCATGTCATAGGAATTAGGGCCCTTTTAATGGTCTGGAGTAGAATAACAACAACAAAGAACTCTCAGCAGCACAGAGCTCGCAGACATAACAGACAGGTGCACAAATTCTTTATGTCTAACCCAAGTGTTAACACCACACTGTGGAAGACTAAAGCTGTCTCTGAGAATCAAGAATCTGTAAAAATGATGATTTCGGTTTGTTTGCTTTGAGACTCAGGTGAATATCATAGATGAATTTGGGAGGAAGAGTCAGGGATCACAATTTTATTTCTCACCTGTTAAAGCAAGAAGATAGTCAGAATTGCTGCTCCAAAGACTTCTGTCATTTAAGTCAGGAGGAAGAAGGTATTTACTGGTAGGATGCTACTGTCTAGGAGAGCCAAGATACTGTATTAATAGAGGCTAGTCTTGTTCATGCAAACAGTAATTATCTATCCTTAAATTATAGCTTTCACTTGCGGCTTTTTTAGAAACCTATTTGAAAGATCAAGAGAATGTACTTCCTACTGACAGAAATGACTTAATACCTATTTTGTATATATATAAAGCTCTTCTGAGGAGGGGTTGGGAACTAATGATTTGTTGGAAACTCATTTACTTTTTATTTATTTTTTTACAAAATGGAATAAAACAATTATTGGTTTTTAGATGCAGACAACCACACTGAGTTTTGAAGCCTCTGGAAAAAAAAAAAAAAAAAAAGAAACCTGAGGCCATGGTATTTATTTATTTATTTTCTATATAGCATGGCTTAAACCCTAGAGATAGCTGCATACTTTTTAGGCTCTTCACAACTTCCGTGCTTACATTCAGAAGATGCTCATGGTCAGTGTGAATACTGAAATACATTAAATTGATTTTTCAGAGATGCGAAGCACTTCCACTTTTCAGGGACTTCAGTGCTCTTGCTAGTTATCAGCACCTCCAGAGCGAGGCTGGGAGTGCACCACAGAAATACAGATGCAAGATGGCATGCAGGTTGTGCAGCCAGATTTCCAGGCAGCTCTGACTTTGGGAAGTTGAATGCTTGCTTTAATTTATGGGAATTGCTTGCAACTACATACATACCCCAAAAGTAAATGTAGCGATAAAGTAGACTACCTATAAAGGTACTTGCAGTGTCAGCCCTTGGTATGTTATTTGCCTCCAAACCTGCCACATATTTCTCTGTTGGACAGAGATTCTTCCTAGCAGCAAGCTGACAAAATGATTAGTTATGGCTGTCCTCTGCTTTTTTTTTTTTTTTTTCCTTTTTTTTTTTTTCGGCAAAGTGTGAGGAACAATGCAAAAAAAAAAAAAAAGAAAAAGGGGCATAAATATAAAAAGGCCTGATAGATTCCCCTGAATATCCGTCTGGAAAACGGAATTTTCCAGAATCAGCTGCCATTTCTCCCATTAGCTTGACAGCTGTCAATTAGGGCTTCAGTGCTCTCCTGGGCCACAGTTTATTGCGTGCGGTTGATGTTGTCATTTTGTTCTCGGTTTTGCCTTGAGCACTATCA